CTGAAACCATCCAGCCCAACCCCCTGCCAGAGCAGGGTCACCCGGAGCAGGATGGACAGGGAAGCGTCCAAGTAGGTCTGAATGTCTCCAGAGAAGGAGACCCCGCACCCTCCCTGGGCAGCCTCTTCCAGGGCTCTGCCACCCTCACAGGAAAGAGGTTCCTCCTCGTGTTGTGATAGAATTCCCCACATCCCAGTTAGCCCCCATTGCCCCTTGTCCTGTCCCCGGGCACCACTGAGAAGAGTCTGACCCCATCTTCCTGCCCCCCACCCTTTAGCTCTTGCTCAGCATCGATGAGAGCCCCTCAGTCTGCTCTTCTCCAGCTGAACAGCCCCAGGCCCCTCAGCCTTTCCTCAGCAGAGCGATGCTCCACTCCCTCATCATCCTCACAGCCTCTGCTGTACCCTCTCCAGCAGTTCCCTGTCCTTCTGGAACTGGAGCCCAGAACTGGTCCCAGTGCTCCAGATGGGGCCTCCCCAGTGGAGAGCAAAGAGGGAGGATGATCTCCCTCCACCTGCTGGCCACGCTCTTCCTAATGCACCCCAGGAGACCGTTGGTCTTTTTGGCCACAAGAGCCAAAGGAGGTCCTTGGATTGCTGGGTGGCAGAGCGGTGGGTGCCAGCCGGTCCCTGCTGGGCAGGGTGACTGGTGGCCCTGGCTGGATGCAGTGCTGTCCCCATACCCACCAGCTGCTCCACACGCCATCTCTGATGGGTCAGATGCGCCCAGCTGTTGAGTATCTCTGGAGAAGCAAGGCTCTGGGTGCAGCAAGGGGGTCACTGCCAGCACACAGCTCTCCTTCCCTTGCAGCCCGGCTCCTGGTGGCATTCTTGACCCAGCAAGGGCCACGTGGTGGACCAGCTTGAGGAAGAGTATGGTGCTGGTGCAAGCACCTGTGAGCATCCAGCAGCTCTTCAACGCCAACACCAAGTCCAACTTGTCCTTGTGCCATCAGGAGGCAGGGACTCTGGGACACCATGGGTTAGAGGGTGGCCTGATGGGCAGTATGGACCAGGAGAAGGGCATGTGGGGCTGCAGCATCACATGCCATCTTGTGCCATCCATGTCCTGTTGAGATCCTGGCCAAGATCATGGCCACCTCCAACCTGAGGACCCTTGACTCTGTTCTTCTTGATGGCAATGAGATGCCATTGAAACCTTCGACATCACCTATCTGCACTGGGTACCCAAAACCCAAAGCACAGTCTTCAGGGCTCTCCAAGCTGGTACGTGCCCCCCAGCCGCCACAGGAGATGTGGTTGAGGGTCTCACACACTGCCCTTGCCCAGGCTGCCATTATGTTCCTGGCTCAGAGGATCAGCAGCAACCCCCCCATCACCCCCCAGCAGCACCTGGGTGGGGTGACCAGGACCAATGTGGAGAAATTGGCCCGTGTCATCAGCACAGACCAGCATATCAGCAACCGCTTCCTCAAGGACAGGGTGGGTGGATCCTGCATCCTCTGTCCCCATCAGTGAGCTGTGTTCAGGCTGTCCCTGCTGCTCTATCCTGGGAAGCACATGGAGTGCCTCTGGTCCTCACCAGCATCCAGGCTGGGACACTATTTATCCTGACGAGACCATTTGTGTGACCAACCTGGTGGCCCCCTAAGATGAAGTGACTACATCTGCGGGCAAGGGAAGAGTTGTGGATGTCCTCTATCTGGACTTCTGTAAGGCCTTTGACACGGTCCCCCACAACATCCTTCTCTCTGAACTGGAGAGATAGGGGTTTCATGGATCTACCGGTCAGTGGATGAAGAATTGGCTAGATGGTCGCTTCCAGAGTTTAATGGTCAATGGCTCAATGTCCAGATGGAGATCAGTGATGAATGGTCTCCCTCAAGGGTCTGTACTGGGACCAGCACTGTTCAGTATCTTCACCAATGACATAGTCAGTGGGATCGAGGGCACCCTTAGTTTATTTGCAGATGGCACCAAGCCTGAGGGACTTGGAGAAGGTTGAGAAATGAGCGAATGTGAACCTCATGAGGTTCAACAAGGCCAAGCGCAGGGTCCTCCACCTGGATCAGGGCAACCCCTGGTACCAATACAGGCTGGGGAATGGACGGATGGAAAGCAGCCCTGGCCTTGTTGAACATCATGAGGTTCAGATCAGCATCTGTGGTCTCAGGGTGAAGAACAAGCAGATTATGCAGTACCTGTCCCACTCCATCAACACAGGCAGGGCCAACACACACCTGGGGTGGATGGGCCCACAGTGCACTGGTGCGCCCCAGCATCAAGGCTTGAAGTAGGTTGCCAGTGCCACCCCAGCACTGGCAGCTGTGTCCCCAAGAGCATCATCCTGCTGTGATTGTGCTGGTTTCCATCTTGCCTGCTCTGGTTGACAGGTTGGACTTGGCATTGCCACAGAAGATGTCCTGGATGCTGTCCTCCTGAGATCTTGCTCAGCCTGGTCTCCATTGCCTCAGACCCCTACAAGACCTGTGTCAACACCCATGTCATCTGCACTGCTACATCTGTACATCAATGTCTTCAAGGTGAGATGCTCCCGTCTTGGCTATTGTAGCCTTGGGGCTAGTCCTCTTGGATGTCAGCTCTGCTCGTTTCCCTCCTCTGCTCTGCCCCATGGAATCTCTACCTCACAATTACCTCCACCCTGGCTCCCACTGGGATTTCACCCCCCCACCACCACCATGGCCCCTGTGGTCCAGGACTGCTCTCAGCCCCAGCTCCCACCCTTGGGAGCTCCCTTTGGGTGTTTGTCCAGGAGTTGGACTATGAGCATATCTATTGGGCCACGCTGGTGCCCCCAAGCTCTTGATGGCTTGTGCTTCAGGTGGAAACCATCATCGAGAGGATCAGGCACCACCACCATCATTCGGCTCCAGGCTACTCCCATAAAGATGAAGCTATGATGTTTCTGTAGATACACCACGTCCTTATACCTGTCTTAGGATGTATCTGGATGCAGTGGGTGCTGCTGACCATGGATACAGATGGGTGGGTTTCCCAAGGAGGGGGTCCCTCTCTTCCAGGGCACCCACTGAAGCCAGGCTTGTGTCTCATTCCAGACTGTCCTCATAAAAAGACTTGGCTGCTTTGCAAGATGGCGTGACCCTTCTTCCAGCCTTGCTCCTGGGCAATCATGATCTCCTACATGGTCCTGAGCCACACCGAGGCTGGGACACATCCCAAGGGCCAGCATAGCCCTGCAGGCCTTTGGGGTACTTCCAAAGGCACTGGTAGACCGCGGGGAGGAGGGGGAAAGGACATTGAAGTCCCAAAGGAGGGTGTCACAAGAAAAACCACACCGCAGCCCCTGCAGTGCAATGGATGCACTTTGAAGACATCAAACTTCTGACACTTGTGGATGCACAGAGACAGGGAGGGTCCTGGTGCATGTGAGGGGGGACGCAGAGACCTCCAAGGAGCACAAAAAGGCACCTGTGGAACCATATGAGGGTGTATCAAAAGGCTCTTGCAGGATTCCCCCTGGGCATGTCCAACAGAAACAAAGACGTCACTCAGGTGCTGCCAACCAGAGCTGGAGGGTCCAGATGCACATCGGAAGGTGCTGGTAGAGCTCTGGGAAGCAGATAGGTACACGGTGCATCAAATGGACTCAGACCATGGGCCACATCCTAATGCTCTGGGAGTCCTCTGGGGCACGTCAAAAGGCACTGGTCAACCTGTGTTGGGCACAGAATGGCCCTGGGAGGACATGTGAAGGCACTTCAGAGTCCCCACGTGTTGGCACTGCAAAGCACCTGGAGGCACGTGGGCAGCACAGAATGACACATGGGAGTCCCCTCAGGTGCACCGAAGTGCACAGGGGACCCTGGTGAGCACAGTAAGACCCTTGGGAGCCACCAGGAGCCTTTGCACAGAAGAGACTGTACTCAGAGGCTCTCAGGTGTGACCCAAAATGCACCTGGAAGCCACTCGTTCCCCTGGCCAAGCTGAAAGGCCCTCAGAGGCCCCAGAGAAGAGCAGAAAGGTGCTACCACAGCCCAGAGGTACATCCAAAGGCAGTCAAAGACCTCTGAGGGCCCATCTAGAGGTGCTCAGAGGAGCCTGGGGCACACCAAAAGGCAGTCAGAAAGACCCAGGTGAGAAGGTGGGGACACAAACCTCTGGGTGTCAGGGGTGCCCAGCCTGCCCTTCTCCTGCTACTGGAGAACACAGGGTTCCTGGTGCTTGTGGAGAGCACTGGGATGGTGCTGGACAGGCAGGGAGCTGAGGATGTGGCAGCAAAACACGACATGACACAGCTGGTGCTTTCCAGGTTACTTTAATACCAAAAAAAACCCATGATCTGGACCTCCTGGTCCTGAGGAATCATTCATAGGCAGCTGGGAACCCCCGGCTGCCGCCCCATAGCCCTGCACCTCCCAGAGCCTGCAGACACTCCCCTCACTAAACAGCAGCTCCACCAGCCTACGGGACGTCCCCCCACTCACCAGGACTGTCCCCATGTGCGGCCCTGTCCTCACTGGAGGCCATTCCTCATGGCAGCTGTGGCCATGCATGGTCCCCTGGTGAGCCCAGGCCAGCCCCTCCGTCACTCCACTTCCTCCAAGCAGCTGCTTCTTCTCCCAAGACCTGCATTGGGGCCCCTCCACCACAGAAGAGCAACACAAACCAACTTAAAAGAAGCCAAACTTGGCAGATAACCCCCAAAAAACCAGAACTGTCCCCAAAGGCCAGCTTGGGGCAGGGCAGCTGTCACAGACCAGGCCAGCAGCCCTGTCCTCCATAGCTGGCTCTCCAAACAAACCCAAACAACTCAAAGCAAAGCTGGAACAGGACCAGGTCCCCAGCGGGGCTCACGTGCCGCTCCGGCGGCTGGGCTTCAACTCCTGGCTGGGGCAGAAGGGCTGGCTACGTCAGCTGGCACCCTGCAGCAGAGAGGACAGCATGGAGAGGACAGCAGCACCCCAAAAACCCCTTCCCCTCACCTCCTCTGCTTCCAACCAGGCATCCCAGCTGCAGCTCAGAGCCACCAGCTGAGGGGGTGACAGGGCTCCCCCCCAACTAGATGCACCACAGCTCCAAGCTCCCAGGAGATTGCTTTGGGAAAGGCAGGGGGTTGGCACCGCTGCCCTGCGAGGACTCACCCAGCACCCGGAGAACCTGCAGAGCCATCGCCACCTTGGCCTCCTCGTGCCCGCTCCTGCCTGGCCCGGCCGGCCGGACCCACGTGAACCCGTTGAAAGGCACGGGGCACCCCGGGATGACCACCCGGCACCAGAACCGCAGCCACCCGTTGGGGTTTGCCTGGACGCACTTGGTGAGGAAGAGCGGGGTGCCCAGGTACTGCCTCTGGCACAGGGCCTTCAGCCGGTCCACCGCGTTGGGCAGCACCGGGGAGGGGGGCGCAGGCTTGGGGACCCCCCGGCGCTTGCCCCCTCGCACCTGGCTGGACGACAGCTTCTCCTCACGCAACTGCAGCTTCTGCTTCAGGTCGGGGTTCAACCAGTTCACCCTCACCTCCAACCCACTGAGCTTCGTGTTCCCTAGGAGAAACCCACGGCAGCTGACACGAGATGCTCATGCAACAGCCCTCCAGGATCACCCCACCCCGTTCCCCAGCACGTGGCACAGCAGTCCCCAGGGGTGGTGTGACCCACAGGATCCTTTCCCTGCCTCCACCATCCCTCAGGCAGCTGCAGGGCAGTTGCTTCTCCATCTCCTGTTGCCATCGAGGTGGGCTCAGGGCAGCAAAGCTCAGAGGATTTTAGGGGCTGCCTGCCTTTAGGGGCAGGAGCAAAGAGACATTAAGGCCAAATGCTTCTCAGCTGGGCAGAAACGGGTAGAAATCAGGACTTTGGAGGCTCCAGCTGGATGTCAGGGAAATGTGTCCCATCGGAGCACAGTGCAATCACGGGATGGGGAACCTGGGGTAGGTAATCTGCATTGGAAGGGTTTAGTAACTTGGCCAAAGCTCTGGATGCCCTGGACTGGTACTGGTGATGTTTCTGCTCCAAGCAGGCAGCTGCCTGGAGACCTCCAGTGGCCCATTTACCACTAGGTCTGCACAAGGACTGGGGATCAGCCCCCCAGAGGACAGTTACCCTCCCAGGGGACACAGGGAGAGAACAAGGGCTGTCTCAAAGCTGAAATCACTCTGCAGTTGAGTGTGGAGCTGGGATCAGTCCTTCCTTAGAGGCACCGGGAAGACCAGCCCAAGCAGCACCCAGACCTCCCACTTACCCTCCACCAGGGTCTTCTTGGCCATGGCAGCAGCCTGGTGCGAGCTGTACTTCAGCACAGCGAGCTGGGCCCGTTTTTGGGAGGGGCTGGTGTAGAGGGTGATGCTGAGGACCCCCTCCGTGATCCGCCGCAGCGTGGCCTCCAGCTCCTGCTGGCCCACCGAGGCGGCCAGGCCATCCATGCTCAGCTCGCACTTCTCCATGCTCTTGCAGACCACGATGGCGCAGCCCTGCCGCACCTCAAAGTTGTTGAAGGTTGCGATGGCCTCCTTGGCGCCGCGGTGGTTGCTGTACTTGGCGTAGGCAAAGCCCCGGTTGAGGCCACTGAAGGTCATCATGAGGCGGAACTCGTAGAGCTTCCCCACGCTCTGGAAGAGCGGGATCAGCACGTTCTCATAGACGTCCTGCGGCAGCTTCCCGATGAACACCTCCGTGCCAGCCGGCGGGGGGTTGCCCACCCAGCCTGTGGGCACACAGAGACGTGGTGGATGTGGGGTGAGACCCACCCTGCCTCTGTGCCTCCCGGGTCCCCTGTGTTCTGTGCTCCCAGGGCACCATGGCGCTGAGATGCTCTTCTCACCTACCTGGTGGGGGGCCACCATATCGCCTCTGCCCGTTGACCTGCACGAGGTCAATGCCAGTTTCTTTTGCCCAGGCATGCAGGGCCATCTTATTTTCCTGGTTGATGCTGTTGGTCCACATCTGAGGAGGGAGATGAGGGTGGCGCGTGGCTGGCAAAGTTTCCAACCTCCCTTCCAGCCAGACCCCGTGAAGCAATTGCAAGGCCCAGCCACAGCATGGAGGAGCAAACGCTGAACCCCTCTGCCCTCAGGAAACCTGAAGAGCCTCTCAACACTGCACACCCAAAGGACTACCCTGCCCACCATCCAAGCCTGCTCCACATGACTACGTTCTGCAATTTTGGTAGAGCAGAAGGACACCAAGAGTTCCCCTGAGGATGCCTCCAAAGTCTTTGAAAGCCAAGGCAAAGGCAGCATCTGGTTGGCGTGGCAAAAGGGGGCTGGAGCACAGAGCCAAGGTGGCCCGTCACACCGTGAGGTGTGTGCCTCAAGGCAGACAACTTGCCTTCTGCCAGCATCTCCTCAGGCTTCCGAGGACAACAAGGATGGTCTGGAAATACCATCCACGTGGCAGTACGATCCTGGTTTAGCTCATTAAGTGGTGCAAAGTCTGAGCTGGGGCTCTGAAACTGTTCGCTGGGTGGGATGAGCTCTAACTCCGCCTGAAACGCAGCCTGGCTGCACCCTCCCCTGGTGCATCTCCGGGTGGTGGCACCTTCCCACCTCCGGGGGGTTTCATCTTTCCCAGATGACCAGAAAGCACCTTTGGGTGAAGGCGGGGACCCATTGAGGGGAAATCTCCACTGAGAGGGGGTGGAAAGACCAACACAAACCCTCCGGCCATGGCTCGGCAGCTCCCGGGGCTGGCTCCCAGCACAGGGCACCTCCTCGCCCCCCAGGGCCGGGGGGGGGTCCCGGGGCTCCCGGGAGAGGCAGGACCCGGCTCTTCCCCAGCAGCCCCCACCGAGCAGGGGTGTGTGTGTGTGTATGTTCATCCTCATCCTCACCCTCACCGTGTGTGTGTGTGTTCATCCTCATCCTCACCCTCACCCCCACGGGGCACCGCGGCCGCCCGCCCCAGCTCGCCGCGGGGGGGTCCCCAGACCGGGGATGGCACCGGGGGCTCCCCGAGAGACACCCCCGCACCCTCCCCCCGCCCTGGGGTGAGCCGTGCCCCGCACCGGGGCTCCCCCTCCCTGCCTTCCCGCTCGCCCACCTCCACCTCCATGGCCGCCGCTCGCCCCGCTCCTCCTCGCCGCCCGCCCCGCGATCTGGAAGGTTCCACGGCCCCCGCTCCGCCCCGGGAGGGGCCACAGCAGCGACCGCCCCCTCCCCTTCCCCCAACTTCCGCTCCCAGCCGGGGATTTAGGGGAAAATTACCCTGTTGAGGGGCAGAGTGTGCGTGGGGGGCAGCAGCGAGGGCACCCCGAACCCCCTCCTCCCACCCAGGGCTGGGGGAGCCCACCCACGCTTGGGGCGGGGGCTGGGGAGGCGAGGGGGGAGCCCCAGCCCCAGCGACGTCCATAAATGGCAGGGAGGGGGGTGAGGAAATGCCCGTCCCCAGGGGAAAGCAGGGGCAGGAGCCGGGGAGCGGGAGACACGGGTTTATTGTGTTTCTGGGAGCGGCGCCTTCACATCGGGCCCGGGAAAAGGTCACCTCCCCGCGGGGGGACGGGAGGGTTATTCGAAGCGACGGGGACAAGAAGCTGCAGCCAAGACCCCCCCGGGGGTCTGCTGCCAGCCCCGGGGCTCCACGCAGCACCGCAGCGGGGCCAGGTGGAGGCTGGCATAGGCCGGTGTAGGCCGGAGCCACCCGAAAACGTCTTTCTGGCGACATCCCAGAGGGCCAGGGGACATCCTGGAGGATGGGGGCACCTTCTGGGAGCAGGTCCCACCGGGACAGGGAGGGCACAAGACAATAATAAATACAGCTTTCAAAGGACCCCCCCCGACCCCACACCCCCGTGGCCCGGCGGAGGCATTGACGGGAGGAGAGGCGTCAGCCGGAATCCAGCAAACCAGGAGACGTGTCCCCAGGGGGCTCAGGGCCGGCTCGTGCGCATCCTGATCTCCTCCACCAGGCTCTCCCTGCGAACGTTGACCTGCAACAGGGGAGGGTAAAGTTGCTTCGGTACAACACAAGTGTATTGTGACCTTCTCTGGTCCCAGAGGGATGTCCCCCACTGCTTTCACAGAATCTTCTAGGTTGGAAGGGACCTTAAAGATCATCTTGTCCAACCGTCAACCTGACAAAAATAGACACCCACACAACAAACTAAAAGCAACACCATCACTAAACCATACCTCCCAGCACTACATCAACCCGTCTTTTGAACACCTCCAGGGATGGTGCCTCAACCACCTCCCTGGGCAGCCCATTCCAATGCCTGATAACCCTTTCCGTGAAGAAATTTTTCCTAATATCCAGCCTGAACCTCCCCTGGTGTAACTTGAGGCCATTTCCTCTCGTCCTGTCGCCTGTGACTTGAGAAAAGAGACCGACCCCCACCTCTCTACACCCTCCTTTCAGGGAGTTGTAGAGAGCAATAAGGTCTCCCCTCAGCCTCCTCTTCTCCAGGCTGAACACCCCCAGCTCCCTCAGCCTCTCCTCACAAGACTTGTGCTCCAGACCCCTCACCATCTTTGTTGCCCTTCTCTGGACCATGCTGCTGTTACTGGTCCCTCTTTGGAGACCAGGGGGGCTGCAGCGCACGCAGAGCTCAACCTGTGAGAGCAAGCACCCCACCGAGCCCTCTCCTGCCCAGCCACCACGAGAGTGACACTCTTCCCAGTCTTTCCTACTGGTTCCAAAGCCAAAGACCAGTGCACAGATGGCACTGGGCCCACTTGTTGTGACAGAGCGCCTCCAGGGCCGTCAGTGGTGGTCCCATGCCCTGGGTGGAAAGCAGGAGCAGCCCACAGGCTCCTGAACTGAGAAATAACTGGGAGTTCAAGGAGGCCACATGATGGGAGAATCTCCAGAGCTGGAGACAACAGTGCTCCACAGCTCCAGGAAAGTGCACAGGGTGAGGAACTGGACCGTGGGGTGTCACAGAACTCCCCGGAGAGACCACTGCTTGGAAAAAAAAAAAAAAAATTAACAACAAAGCCAATGTAGAAAATCCTGAGCACCTGTTATAGGGGGCTCGGTGGCAAACTGACACCTATGTGCTCCATAGGCTGAGGAAACCCACCTCACCCCATCTCCAAAAGTGCCCCACAAGGCCACCACCATCAGCCCATAGGTCTCATCTCCAATCTGCCAGCCCTGGTGTGTGGAGAACCTTCCCCTTGCCACACCATCAGCTTTGCTAAGCCTTGGAGGCTTGTCACATCGGGTGGAAGCACCTTGCTCCTCTGATGTTCTCTTTGGGCACTACACTCCAAATTTGGGACAGCAAAGCCACCTTGCTGTGTATAACCTCAGAGGTACGGATGGGTCTGGGGGGCTGGCCTGAGCTGGGATGAAGGCTCAAGTAAGCCTTCCCCCATCACACCGAGCCACCGCGGGCCCTCACCTCCTCCCTGGTGGCCACATCCCGCAGCTTGATGACTCCATCCTTGAGCTCCTGCTCACCCACGATGGCAACAAGGGGGATGCCTGTCTCCTCACAGTACTGCAGCTGGTTCAGCAGCTTGGGGTTCTTCTTGTACAGCACTTCTGCCTGGAAGAGAACCAGGGCATGAGGTCACAATCAGCATGCTGGCCTGTTTCTCTGCACCCCCTCAACCAGGCTCTGCTGGGCCAACCTGCTAATTGGCATCTGGTGAGCGTCGGGGAGAAGATGGGCTACTGGAGAAGCCCAGGCGTTACAGCTAACAAGTAACACAACACAGCTCAAAGGTGCTCACAAGACACTGCTTATCCTGGGAAGACACCAGCTCATTAGCTCTAGTCTGTGTCAGAGCAGGGCTGACCCCCCTGGTGTCCCTACAGGGTCTGGAGCCCCACAGAGCACCCAGACATTCTCCTCTGCTCTGCCATCGAGGGACTTCTGCCCACAGCAGGCAGGGAGTAGG